CTCTTTTCCTTCCCCCTCCCCAATTTTCCAGTTTTCCCTTTTTTTCCTTCCTCCCTCCTTTCCCAATTTTCCTCTCCCTCCCCTCTTTTCCTTCCCCTCTCCCTCCCCAGTTTTCCAATTTTCCCCAATTTTCCAATTTTCCTTCCACCCTTTCTCCTTCCCCAATTTTCCAATTTTCCTTCCACCCTTTCTCCCCAGTTTTCCCATTTTCCCCTCCCTCTCTCTGCTTCCCTTTCCCCTGACTGTTACAGGGGTCAGGATGAAGCCCCCAGCCCCACTGAGCTGTGGGATGGGGGGGGTCCCCAACCCCTCACCCCCCTCCTCTCTCCTGCTCTCCAACATGCACATTTTTTAACAGGAAAAATAATAAAAAACCCCAAAAAATGCAAAAAAAAATCCCTGGAAATGACCTAGCTTTTATAGTAGAAATAAAGAAATAAACGCATGTGGGGGGGGCGGGGGGGGGGACACCCCATCCTTTTATTGGGGGGAAATGTTTTAATAATTTTTGCTGGATTACTTTACAACTAAACAAAACAGATATTGTTATAAATAAAATTTTTAAAAAGTGAAGCGTGGGCTGATGGTTGGAGAGGGGGTAAGAGGGTGGAGGGGGAAGTTTTGGGGATGTGGAATGGGAAAATGGGGATGGGGAGAGGGGAAAGGGGAATTGGGAGAAGGGAATGGAGAATGGGGAACTGGGGATGGGGAGAAGGGAGTGGGGAAGGGAGAATGGGGAATGCGGGGATGGGGAATGGGAACGGGAATGGGGAATGGGGAGGGGAATGGGGAACAGGGAAGGGAAATGGGGAACTGGGAATGGGGGATGGGGAATGGGGAGGGGAATGGGGAAATGGGAATGGGGAACCGGCGGCGCGCGCGGTCCCGGGAGCCGCCACCAGGTGGCGACACCGCCATCGAGAACGGATTGTTGGGGGCAGCGCGCGCGTCCGGGTGTCCCCCCCAGTGTGACCCCCCCCATGTCCCCCCATGTGTTCCCTTCCGTGTCACCCTCTGTAGGCCCCAATGGATCTCCCCCCATAAGTGCACCCTGAGTATCCCCTATGTCCCCCACTGAATACCCCATGTCCCCCATTGTCCCCCGTGTCCCCTGAGCATCCCCCATGTCCACCCAGTGTGTCCCCCATGTCGCCCATTGTCCCTCATGTCCCCTGAGTGTCCCCTGTGTCCCCTCACTGTATCCCCCATGTCCCTTGAGTATCCCCCATGTCCCCTCTGTGTCCCCCGTGTCCCCTGAGCGTCCCCCATGTCCCCCATGTCCCCTGTCTCCCATGTCCCCCCTTTGTGCCCCCAATGTCCCCCATTGTCCTCCGTATCTCTGAGTATCCCCCGTGTCCTCCATTGTGTCCCCCGTGTCCTCTCAGTGTCCCCCATTGTGTCCCCCGTGTCCTGTCAGTGTCCCCCGTCTCCACTGTCCCCCACGTCCCCCCTCTGTGTCTTCCATGTCCCCATTGTCTCCCACGTCCCCTGAGCATCCTCAATGTCCCCTGAGTGTCCCCCCATATCCCTCCATTGTGTCTCCCATGTCCCTTCTCTGTGTCCCCCATGTCCCCTGAGCATCCCCCATGTCCACCCAGTGTCCCCCATGTTCCCATTGTGTCCCCCCTCTGTATCCCCCATGTCCCCCATTGTCTTCCATGTCCCTCCATTGTGTCCCCCATGTCCCCCCCATTGTCCCCCATTGTGTCTCCCATGTACCCTGATTAGCACCCCCATGTCCCCCCATTTTCCCCTCCCCCGTGTCCCCTTCCCTGTGCCCCCTATACCTGGGGGTGCCCCTGGCACCCTCCCGCCCTGCCACAACCACAGAGGCGACCAGAACAGCACCAAGTGAGTGGGGGGCTCACTTGGACCCCCCCTTTACCCCCAGGGACCCGTGGGCTCGTACCCACCCGTGGGGGGGGGGGGGCTCATCCTGCAGGATTGGGGGGCTCAGAGCATCTCCAGCACCCTCCCCAAGTCCCAGGCGCTGTGAGGGACCCCCATGGCCACGGCAGCTCCTGGTGCCCCCCGGGGGTCTCTCCTCGCCCCCTCCCCATCATCATCACCATCATCACCATCATCATCATCACCATCACCCCCCGGCCCCCCGCAGCCGCCGCCTTTGAGCCCCCCCAGCCCCGCGCCGGGTGCCGCCGGCCTCAGATCTATTTCAATCGAGGCTCTTTGTTCATTTATCGGCCCTTAAATCTCCTCCCGAGGTTTTTCCTCCCTTTCCCCTCTCCCCCCCACCCCCCCCCCCATCCTTCACCAAATCCTTTTTATCTTTTCCCTTCGATATTTTCTATTTTTCACCCTTTTTCCCCGTTCATCCCCCCCCCCCCCCCCCTCGCCTGTTTCTGCCCCTCCTGTGGGATGCTAAAGTGGGGAGGGGGCTCTGGAAGGGCCCGGGGTGGGTGAGAACATCGGGGAGCATCGGGACCCCCAAGAGGGGGAGTTTTCCTGGTGATTTGGGGGGGTCCCGAGGGGTTCGGGTACCCCCAAAGCCCCTCCAGGCTTTGATCACCCTAACCTTGGGCACGGGTGGGATTGGAGGGCATGGGAGGGGGCACGGAGACCCCTGAAATGCGGGAATTTGGGGGTCAGGGAGGATCGGGGGTCGCTCCTCTGACCCCCACATGCTCAGGTCCCCCATGAGGGGAGTTTGGGGGGGTCCCGAGGGGTTTGGGTACCCCCGGAGCCCCTCCAGGCTTTGGTCACCCCAACCTTGGGCATGGGTGGGATTGTAGGGGATGGGAGGGGGATACAGAGATCCCTGAAATGCGGGAATTGGGGGGTACAGGGGGGGAATTGGGGGCTCAGGGAGGATCGGGGGCTCTGGGGTCTCACACCCACCGAGGCGGCAGCAGCAGGGATGGGAGCCTTAGAGGGGTTCCCCCTCAATTGGGGGTCCCTCCTCTGACCCCCACCTACCCAGGACCCCCATGAGGGTGCTCCGGGGCTGGCTGGGACCCCCGTGATGGCAGCGGCAGCTCCGGACCCCGCGCTCCTCGTGGTTCTCCTCTCTCTCCTCCGGCTCCTTCTCCCTCATTCCTCGCCCTCTCCTTTCCCTTTTCCCGGTTTTTCCTTTCATAATTCCATCTCCGCGCGTCCACGCGGTTCTGCAGTGCCCCCCACCACCCCCGAGTGCCCCCCGAACCCCCCAAATGTCCCCAAACCCCCCGAGTGTCCCCAAACCCCCCGAGTGTCCCCAGCCCCGCCGATCCCCGCGATAATCACAGCGATAACAGCAATTAACGATCAATTAACGATCAATTAATGGCGGGGGGGGGCCAAAACCCCTCTTGGTGGGGGGTGTGGACCCCTGGGACCCCTCGGAGCCGGGGCAGGAGCACACGCGTGTCCGTGTGCATTCGCGTGTCCGTGTGCACACGCATGTCCATGTGCACACGCGTGTCCGTGTGCACACACGTGTCCGTGCAGGTGACACAGGTGGGGGGTGCAGGATAAGGGACCCCCCCTCCCCGGGGTGTGGCGGGGTCTGGGGGGTCCCCGCGGTGTCCCCGTCCCTTCCTGAGGAAATTTTGGGGGGGTCAAGAACCGCCGGTGTCCCCAGAGGGGTTCGGGGTCTCCGGGAAATGGGGCGGGGGTCGCAGCACCGGGAGGGTCCCGGGGGGAGCATTTGGGGGAGCAGGACGGGGGGGGCACCCCGAGGTGCTGGATCGGGGGGCAGGATGGGGTCCGGAGGATGCTGGAGAGAGGGGCAGGAGCGGGGGGTCCTGGGGGTCTCTGGGAAAGGGGGGGCAGGATCGGGGGCACCCCAAAGTGATGGAGAACGGGAGGGGGGGACCGGGGGTACATCAAGGTGATGGACAAGGGGGGGGGGCACAGCTGGGGGTACCCCCAGGTGATGAAAAAGAAGGGTGGGGGGAACCGGGGACACCCCGAGGTGAGGGAGAAGGGGGATCGGAGGCACCCCAAAGTGATGGAGAAGAGGGGGACACAGCTGGGGCTACCTCAAGGTGATGGAGAAAAGGGGGGGCAGGATCGGGGGTACCCCAAAGTGATTGAGAAGAGCTGGGGGGGACCAGGGGGACCCCGAGATGATGGAAAAGAGCTGGGAGGGCAGGACCAGGGGCACCCCAAAGTAATGGAAAAGGGGGGGGGGGCAAAACTGGAGGTGCAGGGGGGGAATTGGGGGGGGGCAGAACCGGCGACACCCCGAGGTGATGGAGAAGAGTTGGGGGGGAACTGGAGGTACCCCAAAGTGATGGAGAAGAAGGGGGGGCACAGCTGGGGGGACCTCGAGAAAAGAGGGGGCAGGATCGAGGGCACCCCGAGATAATGGGGAAGAGCTGGGGGGGACCAGGGGCACCGGGGGGTGATGAAGAAGAGCTGACGGAGGATGAGGGGTACCCCAAAATGATGGAAAAGAGCTGGGGGGGGGGGGGAACCAGGGGCACCTCAACGTGATGGAGAAGAAGGCGGGGGGCACATCTGGGGGCACCCCGAAGTGATAGAGAAGAGTTGGGGGGGCACCACGGCCACCCCGAGGTGATGGAGAAATGGGGGGGTGGGGACCAGGGGTACCCCGAGATGATGGAGAACAGCTGGGGTCGGGGGGGGGGGGGGGGTCAGAGGCACCCCGAGGTGATGAAGAAGAGGATGAGGGGGCAGGAGCAGCGACACCCCAGGATGCTGAAGGAAGCGGGGGGGGCGCACCGGGAGCACCCCGAGGTGATGGAGAAGAGGAGGGGGCGCACCCCAAAATGCGGAGGGGGGGGGTCGTGAGCACCCCGAGCTCTCCCCTCGCCCTGTCCCCGCTCTTCGCCGGAGCCTCCGCTGCTCACGGGGCCGGTTCGGGGTCCCGGAGCCGCCCCCCCCTCCCGGTTCCCCCCCCGTCCCCGCCGCCGGTCGGGATTGGCGGCGCCGCCGAGGCACCGCCCGGCCCCGCAAGTCTCCAACTTTCTTCCAGCCGCCCCTCATCATCATCACCATCATCATCACCACCAGCAGCGGGGCCGCCGGTTCTCCCGGAGCCCCGCGATGCTCCGCCGCCGCCTGCCCCTGCTCGGGCCCGGGCTGCTGCTGCTGCAGGTACCGGGGGGGCTCGGGACCACCGGGACCACCCGGGGGGTGCGCGGTTACCGGGAAATTTGGGGGGGTCGTGCATTATTGGGGGGTGCAGGAGAAATCCGGGGGGTCCTGGTGCAGGGGGGGGGGTCGTGCAGATTTTTGGGGGGGTGTCATGAATTAGGGGGGTCGTGCATTATTGGGGGGTCCGGTTTCGGGGGGGTTTCGTGCGCTGGGGGGGCTCTGACAGTCACGGAAAGAACGGAGGTTTGGGGGGTGTCATGAATTGGGGGGGTCCATGCAGCTATTGGGGGATGCAGGAGAAATCCGGGGGGTCCTGACGAAGGGGACGCCGTGCTGATTTTTGGGGGGGGTCGTGCAGATTTAGGGGTCCGGTTTTGGGGGGGTTTCGTGCATTGAGGGGGCTCTGACAATCACGAAAAGAACGGAGGTTTGGGGGGGTCATACGTGAGTTTGGGGGGGGGTCCAGCAGGCACTGATGGGGGGGGGTCTATGTGAGAGTTTTATGGGGGGCCCTGCCCCCCCCAGCCCAAGTTGTGGTGTTGGGGGGGGGGGTCCCGTGGTTGGTGAAGCCCCCCAAGATTTGTTTTCCTTTCCCCCCCCCCCCATTGCAGAGGCGCCGTCTGGCAGGTGTGGGGGGGGGGGGGGGGCAGCGAGACGGAACCGGGGGGGGGCGGCCACGGATTTGGGGGGGGGTCGGGGGGGCTTGGGGGACCCCCCTTGTCCCGCACCTGCAGCACACCTGGAATGGGAGGGAGAACAAGGGGACCCCCCCCCCCCATAGTGTTGGGGAGTGAGGGGGGGGTCTCCATGCAGGATTTGGGGGAGTCCCCATGCAGGATTTGGGGGGGTCCCCAAGCAGGGTTTGGGGGGGTCCCCAAACACGATTTCGGGGGGTCCCCAGCTGTTCTCTGCCGTGAACCCCAAAATCACCTGCGGAGGTGACGCCTCATCCCTGTCCCGTCTCCTGCACCGATTTTGGGGGGGGCTTCTCCCACCTCACCCAGAGCCCCCCCAAGCATGGGGAGGACACACGGGGGTCTGGACAGGCCTGGGGGTTTTGGGGGACCCCCCTTTTGCTGCTCGGTGGGCTGCAGCCGCAGAGACCCCCCCCAATAATGTCCTCCCAACCCCCAAAGCGTGTCCCCCCCATTGGAACCCCTCGGTGGTCAGGAGGGGGGGGGTTGGATGGAGCCCCCCCCCCCCAGGTTACCCAGAGGGAGGGAGGGAGGGGGGGTCGCGCTCATCACCCAGCGGATCTGATTTCCTGACACTCCATTTTTACTTTCTGTGTTTCATGAATAAAATCAAACGAGTCAATTCCCTCTCGGGAATTGGATGCACATCAGGGACCCCCCTCCTCCCTTTCCTTCACCCTCCTCCTCCTCCTCTCTGCGCCACCCAAGGCAAAGGCTCCTGTAACTTGTCCATCCGTCCGTCCGTCCGTCTGTCTGTGGAGTGTGGGGGCGGCTCTGCGTGACCCCCCCTCCCTCCTTTCCCCGTGTCCATCCATTGCGGAGCATCTGGCGCTGCTGGAGCTGGTTCAAGATAAATGGGTTTGTTTTGATCGAATCCGGAGCGGGGCGCTGCCCCGGCCCCCCCCTCCATCCCCTCCCTGCCCCACCCACCCACACGGGCAGCGGGGATGGGGAGGGGGCTCCGAGCTGGGGAGGGGGCACGGATGTGGTTTGGGGCATGGCGTGGGCGTGAGGGGGGCAGGAACATCCAGGGAGATGCTCTGAGCCATTTGGGGCGGGGGTCCAGAACCCCCCTGATCCATTTGGGGTGGGGGTCCAGAGCCAGCCTGACCCATTCGGGGTGAGGGTCCAGGACCCCCCTGACCCATTTGAGGTGGGGATCCAGAACCGCCCCCCCTCGCTTGCCAGGGGTCCGGGGGGTTCGGGCTCTGCCCAGCCCGGTGCCCACCGGGTGCCAGGTGGGAGCACCGGAGCCGTTGCTGCCCCTCGGCTCTGCGGGACTGTCGGGGAGAAACTTTCCTGGGGTCTTTTGGGGGTCTGGAGGGGGCTGGATTGGTGGGGGGGACCCCAGGATGTGGGGACCCCCAAGCTGTGGGACGTCAGGGTATGGGGACGCCCGGGTGTGGGACCCTGGAGTTTTGGGGACCTCCAAAGTGTGGGACCCCCGGGTGTGAGGACTCCCGAGGTGTGGGATCCCCAATGTGTGAGACCCTCGGTGTGTGGGACCCCCGAGATGTGGGGACCCTCAGGATGTGAGGAACCCCAAAGTGTGGGACCCCCAAGGTGTGAGAACCCCAGGACGTGGAGACCCTCAGGATGTGAGACCTCTGAGTTGTGGGGACCCCCAAAGTGTGGGGACCCTCAGGGTGTGAGACTCCCAAGGTGTATGAGACCCCCAGGTTGTTGGACCCTCGAGCTGTGGGACCCCCAAAGTGTGGAACCCCCGAGTTGTGGGGACCCCCAGGGTCTGAGACCCCTGAGGTGTGGGACCCCCAATATGTGAGACCCCCAGGGTGTGGGACCCCCAGGACCCTCCGCTGTGCCTCGGGGTCGTTCTCTGAGCATCCCCGGGGCTTCCTGCCGGGCCGGTGCCACCCTGGGTGCCCCTGGCACGGGGGTGACACCACCGTGGGTGCCCCTGGCATGGGGTGACCGCACCCAGGCCTGGGCAAGACTCAGCAGAAGAGGAATTGGGCAAAACTGGGTAAGATTGGGCAAAACCAGCAGGATGGAGCCGCGGGTGGGATGGCTGAGTGCCACAGCAGGAGGGGCACAGCGATGTCTGTCTGTCCGTCTATCTGTCTGTCCTTCCTCACCCCGCTCCATGCCAGGACGTGCCTTGGCCACATCCCCGTGCCTCAGTTTCCCTCCTTCCTGGCACGTTCTGCGAACACCTGAGCGTTCCTGGCAGTTTTTCCTTCCCAAATTAACCCTTTGCGGGCCAATCCGGCTGTCTGTGAACACCTGAGTGTCGCTGGCGGCTTTTCCTTCCCAAATTAACCCTTTGCAGCTTTTCCTCCCCGGATTAACCCTTTGCAGGCAAATCCTGCCGTGCGGGTGGCCCGCGATGCCAGACTCATCCACTTTGTCCCTCGCTGTCACCCCGGAGGTGCCACCTGGGTTTGTGACAGATGGTTTTGCTCTCGGGCAGCTGCTGCCAGCCCTTTCCACACAAGGACACCCCAATTCCGCCTCCCCAGCTCCTGTTTTTGGGGAGAATTCACCCGAAATTCGGGCTCAGAAGTGTGCAAGATATTTGGGGTCAGAGGAGGGAGGATTTGGAGTTTTTGTGGGGTCGGGGGTCCCTGGGGGTGCTGAGGTCCCGGTGCCTGCGGGACTGGGATGGGCTCCGTGCATCCCCCGGTACCGGATGGGCCCCGTGCACCCCCGGTACCGTTCCTGTGCCCACCGGGCCGGGATGGGCTCCGTGCATCCCCCGGCACCGGGATGGGCCCAGTGCATTCCCCAGTACCGAGATGGGCTCCGTGCATGCCCCGGTACCGAGATGGGGCCCCTGCACCACCGGTACCGTTCCTGTGCCCACCGGGCCGGGATGGGCTCCGTGCAACCCCCGGTACCGTTCCCGCAGCTCCCCGGTACCGGGATGGGCTCTGTGCATGTCCCTGTACCGGGATGAGCCCCCTGCACCCCCGGTACCGGGATGGGCTCCGTGCATCCCCCGGTACCGGGACGAGCCCCCTCCACCCCCGGTACCGTTCCCGCAGCTCCCTGGTACCGGGATGGGTTCTGTGCATGCCCCGGTACCGGGATGGGTTCTGTTCATGCCCCGGTACCGGGATGGGCTCTGTGCATGTCCCTGTACCGGGATGAGCCCCCTGCACCCCCGGTACCGGGATGGGCTCTGTGCACCCCCCGGTACCGGGATGAGCCCCCTCCACCCCCGGTACCGTCGCCGCAGCTCCCCCGGTACCGTGGCCGCCGTTGCGGCGGGTGCTGTGTGTGTGCTCAGCATGGCTGAGCTAATCTATCGCCAAACAAACACGCAGTGTTATTCCGAAAGAAGGTTTCCAAGCGACTCATTTCCCTTTTTTTAATAACTCTTCCCTCTGGTGCCCTTTGCACCCCAAGCTGGGAGATTCAATAAGGCTGGAGCCTGGAGCGTGGCTGGCGCAGCCTCGGCGAGGGGGGGGGAGCAGAGAATGGGGAAGGGGGGGGGCACCCCTGGGTGCCCCCCAGCCAAACCCACCCACCCTGCCCTCCCCGGTGCCGATCTGGTTGGCTTTTATTGCTTTTTCCTATTTTTAATTGCGATTTTTCCTCTGGGGATTGGCAGAGGTGGCCGGGATGGGGAGGGGGGGGGGGGGCAGCACAGCTGAGCCCCCACCGCTAATCACTAATCACCAATCACACCCTTGCCAATTAACACTCCCGCGTTAATGACTTCGCCCGCTCTTTCTGCATCCTCTCAAGGAGCCCCCCGCCGCCGGTGACCCCAAATTGGGGGGGGTGACACCGAGCTGAGCCCCCTCCCCAGCCCCCCCCCAGGCTGGCCCAGCTCCAGGCTCGCCGCGGTGCCTGGCTCGGCTTTGGAGGGAAATGGCCCAGGAAAGATGAAGCTTCCTGTGCCGCCGCTTGGATTGCTGCTGGAGGAATAATCACAGCCCCGTGCCCCCCCCATTCCCTCCCTCCCCTCCCTCCTTGCTTTTTTTTTAACCCTGTTGCAAAAGGAAAGTCATTGTGGAGGAACAGAGCAGGGATGGGAATCGATCCCAAATCAATCCCAAATTAATCCTAAATCAACCCCAAATCAATACCAAATAATCCATAATCAATCCCGAATCAATCCCAAATAATCCCAAATCAGTTCCAAATGAATTCTAAATGAATCCCAAATGAATCCCAAATCAACCCCAAATCAATCCCAAATCAACCCCAAATCAATCCCAAATCCATCCCGAATCAATCCCAAATCCATCCCAAATAATCCCAAACCAATTCCAAACCAATTCCAAATCAATCCCAAATCAATCCCAAAAAATCCCAAATCACTTCCTAATCAGTCCC